TTCGATCGATAACATTCCGACGGCCACGACGACGACGACGATGGGCTCGCTTGTGTTCCGCGCAAGCGAGGGTGACAACCAGGAAAAATTTTGTGTCACAAACGATCCATCCGCATTTTTGCGGATCACTTTAACAACGTGAACTTGTAAAAGATAATATTTTAACAAGGCGAATATATTAATTCAATATATTCGTGCACTCGTTTCAGCATATCGCCCGTGTTAAAGTAACACGAGAATTGAACTGGACACTTAGTAAAACAAAATTTCACTGCGCAGCGCTGCGGTAACCGAGGGCGGGTTTGCGTCTGAATGAAAGGATTTCAAGCCTCGGCTTCTAAGTCCGGATCTAAACTGGATATCGTTCGTTCGAAAAGTGAGCAAAGAAACCGAAAGGGCGCGACGGCGCCGGGCCGGGAATTTTTTCAGGCCGGGCCGTTTTCGACGGCACCGCTGCAGCCTGCGATCCTGCGAGAGAGACGCGAAGGGTGAGAAATTGGAGGAATCGTAGGAATCTGCGCTCAGCTGATTGGAGCGTCGTGAGCGGAATCGCCAGCTTCGTTTCGCGATTTATCTGAGAAAGGACACGTTTCGCTCACGTTTACATTACGTACGGCCCATCGGTGGTCCTACCTGTTTCCACCTGGGCACGATGGGCCGCGTACGCACGCACACGCGCACGTACACACACAAACACACATACACGCGTCCCCATAGGATAGAGCATCGTCTCCGTCTTTTTCTCTCTCACTCTCTCTCTCTCTCCTCCACTTTATACCTGCTTTTCTTACTTTCTCCCTTCTGCTCGAGCCTGCCGACTTGGCCCAGGGCTGGACTCGGCGATTATCCTTGGACACGTCGGTCCGTCGGAAGGCGGAAGGGGGAAAACCTACGCATCGTGATCATCGCTCGCGTCATTTCGCGGCCCATCGTTGATTTACCCGCGCGGGCAAGTCGCCGACGATGACTCGGCGGCCCCCACGTTCGCGATGCATAAGCGAAAATAGCGGCGATAACTCCTTACCGCGCAGTATTATGTGACGATAGCGATAAGATATCGCCCTGGTCTTATCGCGCGTCGAGGTCGCGTGCTTTCGGACCCACCGGGCGCCGGGAGGAAGGGGCAAGACGGAAGGAAGGTGCTTACGACTGGATGGAAAAAAAAACGAAAGAAAGAGCTTGCCGCTTCCGTCGGTCGACGTCGCCACGGCGTAGCGGATTCGTTCACTTCCTCTCGATGCCGTACGATTCAATTACCGGCGGCACAACGAGACTACGGCTGCGGGGCTCCGCGAGGAAGCCGAGCTCTTGGTGCAAAAACCGGCTTTAAAATCCGAGTCTGGGTGGCAACACTCTCTCCCTTCCACCGTTCGGCGGCTCGCCGACGAGTCGCCGGAGTGTTCGCCGACCGGCCGCCAGTCAGACTCGGTTCGCGACGGTTCTAAGCACGTACCGGCGTGTTACCTGCGCGCTCTCGTCGCGATCGTCGCGCGTCCACCTGACACCTCGCGGGCCTTCCCGTTCGCGACGACGACGCCGTCGTCGTCGCGACCCGTTTCCGTCGGGATGAAACGCGAGCGAACGCCTCGGTGAACTAGTTGAGATCCACCGGGCCCCGAGGGACGACCGAGGGGCCCGCGAGCGAGGGAAGAAAGGGAGGGAGAGAGAGCCCGCGAGGAATGTCGCGCAGGGCGCGCGGCCAGGTGAAATTCGGCCGCGCCGTTGGGGCCACCGGACGCATCCGGAGGGAGGGATTCACCGCGGGATTACGAAATTAAGATAAACGTCCCCAGGGCGGGAGGGCTCGGCAAGGTAAAGAAAGTCACGAGCGCGCGTTATCAACGCGGTTGTTGTAACTTATCGCCGCGGAGCGAACGGCAAACTCGCCGAGCTTGGCGCCGGGGGAGAGTCTGTTCCGGGATGCGATCTCGGGCCGCGCGCATCGGGATCGATCTTCGAGAGAATCGATCGAGACCAACCGTCTCTCGTGAAGCGGCTGTTTCGTCGCGACGTTTCTTCGACGTTTCGTCGCAGTGCCGACGACTCGCATCTGGTCTTTGTGCTTTGGCTCCTGTGCGCGATCGCTCGTGCAAAGAGCGAGAGAAACAGAGAGTGGGGGAGGGAGCGGGTGGAATGCATATGCCGCGGCGGTTCACGAAACAATGCGAACTTGTGCATCGCGCGTCGCAGCTGTCGCGCTCACAGAGCGCGTGCGACTGTGCAGAAATGCAGCTCGCGGTATGCAACGTCGGAGAGAAAGTGCGTTCTCTCTCTCTCTCTCTCTCTCTCGTCCATTCATCGGACGGCGCGGAACGACGTTCGGCCGTGACGTCAACGGCGGACCGCTCGTCCAGGTGTTAAAGATACGCGAGATACCAGGTTGACGTCGATCGCATCAGCGGGTGCGCACATACACACACACACACAGATATTTATATACCCATCCGCTTTATCTACTTATCAGCCGCTTATCAGCTTACTCGCGAATCGTGCGGTGACGCAGCTTCGACGACGACGAAGTGGCGGCGACGGTTACGATCGGCAGGCAAGATCGAGGCGAGATTTCGTGACGGCAGCGAGCACAAAGGCGAATAACTGTACCGACCCCCGATATATATGTCTCGCCCGTTGGCGCGCGCGGTCCGCTTGACCTCCTTGAATCGCGGCACCTGGACCCGAAAAACCGTTGCTCGGAGCGAGCGGAGAAAGTCGCAGCACACTTTTGCGTCGCCGCGACGTGTACTGGGCGAACACGTGAATTCGTGGATTCAAGAGAGAGAGAACCCTGGAGACGACGTGGGCGTCGAGGAGGCGTCGAGGAGGAGGTCGTCGTCGGGCCTCCTCCTCTTCTTCGTCGCCGGGCCGGCGCGACATTGAAAGATGAAGCCGGCTGAAACGGGCTCTCGCGTGTTGTGTCACTCGGCCGTCTTCCTGTCGAGGACCCTGTGCTGCCCGTCTCCTCCCGCCTCGCTTTTCAAGGTGCTGTTGCGCCAGCGCGACTTTTCACGGTCACTATCGTGCTCGCCGACGCAATCGCGGCGAGCGGCCGGGCGGGAGATCGTAAATCTCGGATCGCGAGTAATGGTTGTGAACGGAGCGGTGCTTTCGTGCGCGGACGGGATGGGAAAGAATCGAGGCGATGGGAAACGTCGGAATGAAGTTCGCGGTCAACGGCGGCGGGGAGTCGGCGGGGACCCCTCCTCGGGGCGATCTCGATCTGACGAATAATTGTCCGATCGAGCGGCCGACGATCGTGTGATCGTCCCTTTATTAGTTATTTGCCGATGAACGAAGGTTTCAATTATTCCCATTGTCAGATTGTTAGACAATTTTATCATTGTTATCGAGCATTTCGTAGTGCATTTTTATTGGTGCAGTTTGAGAAATCTTTTGGAATTTTCGTGAAATTTTGAAGTCAAGGGGGTTTAATTCGCCGATACGTCGAAGGAGGATGCGAACGGGGAGGGGGGGGGAGGCGTTATGTTTCACCTGTAAGACCTGTGAGATACGCGTGCCTTATACTTCGATCGAGCGTCTTGATCGATCGTATACACGGCGCATCTATATCCCCGTCACGAGCTCTCATTGGCCCGTTTGTTTAATCGAGCATCCTCAGAGAGCTTTCCTCCGCACGATCTCGCGTATAGAATTGTCTACGCATTTTGCGCTACCGCATACCGTTCACCGGCTCGATTCCTCTCGCGCTCGAAAAGCCACGGGACTCGCGCGGAGGAGCACCGTTTCTCCGTCGTCTCTTTGGGAACCCAGGGGCGTATAATTTATGGCCAGCGCCAGCGGCCTGAGAAACTCCCGTCCCGATGACTCGGTAACCTTGTAATCGGCCGGTCCGCGAGAGGAGCTCCTTAAGAATTTCACGGAAGGATCCTCGCGCGCAGTTCCTCCCGTTAGCGTTCTCCTCCGGCGAGCCCAGGTATTTCGGGCTCGCGCGATTGTTTCGCTCGACGCGTCGGCGAGGAATGCGAGGCGGGAAAAGTAGCCGCGTTACACCGACACACATTTCTACGGAACGCAACCTCACGAGGAAGCGGTACGTCGGGAATTAATCGCGGCTTCAAACGTTCCCCGAGGAACGACGGGAGGGAAAGGTATCAGGTTGCCCGATTCATTCGCGGGGATTCATTTCTGCCTGTAGCCGATACTTTTATCAGCCGGCCTTTGTAACTTTGTTCAACGACTGTCTTCTTCTCGGCGGTAGAAGGTCGTAAAAAAGAAGAAAGGAACGGGGAATTTCACAGACTTCTATTTCTCCAGGCTTTGTGGGCGACCGACCGACATGAGATACACCGAGAGAAAAATACCTGATGTTTGTAATTATAATAACTAATACACGCCTTAATATAACAGAAATGAAGCGAAACAGAAAGGAATATTTCAGACGAAAGTTGCGGGGTTTGGAGGGGGACATATTTCGGTGACCTTAACTTCGCTGTACCGACGCGTTCAATTCCCCTTAGAGAAGCAACTCTTCTACCTGACCGCCTGACGGAGCTCCATCAGCTTGGAATTTTTCGTCAAAATCTCCCCGCGAACTTTTCGAACAGCCCCGATATATCGGAATCAGCGCGAGCAACCAAGAGGTTCGAAGAGAGCCGACGACCTCACACGACGACCGGAGCTCGTCGAAAAATCGCACATGTGCTGGTTAAACGGGAACGACACGTTCTCGTAGCTCGTGATTAGCATCTCGATTTCAGCGCGATTTAATTAGTCGGCCTTAGCCGGGGCTTGATCGATTCGAGAGGTCGAGCCTCTTCATCGCGAATTATCCGCCGAGGGCGACGCGTGTGTTACGTCCGTTCCGCTCGATATACGTCGTATATCGTATCGTGACCCCGTAAAGCGAGAAAGCCGCGTACGACGACAACAACAACAACAACGCGGCGGAGAGCGCGTACGCCGCGAATAAGCCACGCGTAATAGCGGCGCGCACTTTAACAGCCGTTAGATCGTCGGCTCGAACGAGCGGCGTTTTTAAATCGAACTGCGGAAAGCGCGCGCCGCTTCCTATTCTGGGAAGTAAGTTTAACGCGCACGCACGTATGCGGAAACGGAAATCTGGCGGCTACGTCGTGGGATCTCTCGCGCGGCTCAAAATGAAAAATGACGCCCCGTCGGGGCAGCGAGCCTCGCTAATGCCTCAAGCTCGGGTCTGCGAGAGGTTTGGTAAGCTTCTAACCTTTTGCCCGAAGCAATAAAGTGTAACGCAACTTCGGCGTAAAAGGTGTACTGAATCTTTGTCCGAGAGAAAGAAAGAGAGAGAGAGAGAGAGGGGAGGAAGAGAAAAAAAAGAGAGACATCACTGACACGTTCGTCGAAGAATCTCATTAGTCGGCACCGTCGCTATAATGGGACTCGCTGTACGTCAGGTATGACCCAAAATGCAAATACACCGCTCACCCTTGGGCAGTCAACGCATTAAGTTGAAAAGTGTTTACCTAACAATAGCTTGCCGCCGTTCCTTCCGTCGCGACTCCAGCGGTCCGCAACTCCGCGGACCGGGTCAGGTCCTTCCGGTCCTGGAGCCGGTCGTCCCCCCGACACCTGGACGAATATATCCGGACGTCTCTCTTTTTCTCGAGTCGAGTTCTCGGCCGCCGAGAGAGAGAGAGAGAGACTCTCCTCCTCGTATCTGAAGCGAAGCAAGGCCGGAGTCCGGCATTGTTCCTCGATTTTACCGCGCAAAACGTCGGCATTCATCCTTCAGCCTGCATGCGCTCGCATGCATGATGAATATCTCGCCGTGCGATCCGCATTGTGCAACCCGAGCCGTTTATCCTCGAGAACGGCGGGAGGAATTTGGAAAAAGCCGCGACTCACGTTTACGTTGACGCTGCATCGCCACGATGTTACGTGTGCTCATCTCGCGTCAAATCATTTCTAATATTATTCCAATCGATGGATTTTCAACTTCCAACCATTGTATTAAATTCTAATCAAAATCCTTGATTGTAATTGGACTCGTTTCATTTTCGATTCTGTCTGGATTGTTGTCGTGAAATTTTTCCATTTATGTCCGAAGGAAAAATCGACTACGAATCGAACGCGAAATAAAAAAAGAAAACAGATGTAAAAAGTAATAGAAATTACAATTTCTTATTTTCTTATTTATTATTATTTCATGGGTGAGAAGCTTCTCTCGTAGGCTCATAAAATATCTCTCCGTCCAAATGTGCCCTTCCAGATGGAAACCGAAGTCCGAACGCTCAAGCAGGAACTGGCACGCACCCAGGATGCCCTGAAGGCCGCGACGAAGAGATGCAGGGACCTGGTGAGGGAGCTGGACCATCGTGCCAGCGGTCACGAGTCCGAGAGGACTCTCCGGGACCAGCAGCTCTCGAGGATACTGCGGGCCCTGCTGGTTCTGGAGGCGCGTCTCAAGCAGGAGCAGAAGTCGATCAGGCAGCTGCTCTGCGAGAAGGACAACGTCATCCGGAACCAGCAGCTGGAGATCGCGATGCTTAGACGGTACACGAAGAACTATATTAAGTGTAAACGCGATCCAACGCTGGCCGATACCGAGGTCAACGCCAACGTCGACAAGAATTTGCAGAACTTCGGCAGTTTGCAGGTAATTCGAGCAAACTTATTTATGCAATATCAATATAATTAATCGTAATTAACGTTTCAACCGTTACAGATTACATTTATACTAAATAAAGAAAGTGTAATCTATTATAAGAAAATACCGACTGTTTTGTGGTCAGAATTCCACAAAACGAACATCATCGCTCAAGGAGGCAAAATATTCTCCTGGCATTATTTCTGACTTTTCTTATTCCATATTGTAAGCAACCCCATTTTTAACATTGACGAATTATTTTAACCCATGTAAAAAAAGTTAATAATTTAATATCAGTGCATTTTAAATCAACCAGCGAAAACCCACTCATTTGAAATGAACTTAAGTTAGAGCCTATTAACTTTTTATTTTTTCCAACTTAACTTTCAAAATGTAACAATATGTATCTGCCGCAAAAACAGTTTCCCCGACTGCAATTCTCTCACTATGCATTTACAGTCACAAAGTAGCAAAGACTTATTTATCCTCACACATACCCTACGTAAATCTCTTCTCGCGATCTCTACTTCCAGAAGGAAACGCTGCAGGAGAGCGGCCTCGGCAAGGACATCGCGAGTCTCAAGTGCGAGATCATCACGCGGCTACATCCGGCGGCGTCCGGCATCATCCTCGAGGAGCTGGACCGCAGCGGCGTGAGGAAGACCCACAGCTTCGCCGGCAGCGACATCTCCAAGACCAGTATGACCAGCAGCGAGAACACCGACGCGTCGATCATCACCACGACGACCGAGGGCAGCCCGTCGTTGCTCAGCACGGAGGGCTTCTGCGAGGGCGAGAGTACGGACGTGTCGCCGGGTTCGACGTTGAACAAGTGTTCGAGCAGGTGCACGCCGACGACGGTGACCGACAGCGAGAACGAGACCACGATGATCGTGGACGAGGACGATGAGGAGGCGGAGGAGATCACCATTACGACGACGACGAAGAGGAAGACGTCCCTTCGCCGAGGGAAGGGCCAGAAGGCGTCGAAGGGCTCGGAGGTGATCGAGGTGGTCGGTATCACGAGGACGGAGAGCAAGGACGACGGGATGGACTGTAACTTCGCCTCGGAGGACGAGGAGCAGGACTCGAGGACGAATCGGGAGGGGAAGAGCGAGCCGATCTACGTGAACGCCTGCAACGAGGCGAACGAGAGGCACTTGCAGCAAAAGACCGAGCTGTCGAGGACGGAGGATGATTACAGCAACAATAATAACGTGTAAGTTTCTTCCGTAAGCGTCTCTGCGGCAGGAGTTTTCCTTGAATTACCCGTTACTCATCTCCGTCGGATAGATTTCTGCAAGTTTCGACATTATTTTCCGAAATTATTCGCCGAGTCAGGATCACTTCCCGCGGGAATAGAGCGGAAATAGAGCGTTGGGAAGTAGTGTTATATTTCCGGGATATTTCTGAATTATATTCCTGAATTCTGGAATCTTCTTCTCGCAGCGAGACGAAGATCGAGCCGCCCGAGGTGACCGTGGAGGACACCAGCATCAACTGGTACAGCGACCCCGACGAGGACAGACTGAACGACGACATGTTCCGGCACAACGTCTACAGGCCGAACGGCAACCACAACTCCGTTCTGGAGTGCGTCAACCAGATCCTGCTGCGCGACATGGAGGAGGAGGAGAACGTGCTGTCGGCGCCGCGGCGATTCAAGCATCGCGGCAGGATCGTGCGCTTCCAGCCGGCCAGGTTGTCCGACATCGAGTCCGTCGGCTCCGAGATGGAGAGGAGGAACTCCGAGGAGTCCACCGTGGACAACAAGGAGTCGCCACGGGAGGACGAGGCCCGGGAGAACGAGGGCAGCGCGTCCGAGGACGAGTTCGGCATGAGGATCGTCCAGAAAGAGCCGGACGACGATCCCAAGGACTCGAAGGCGATCCCGTTGGTCATCATCGAGCCCAAGGTCGAAGAGGCCAGGCAGTTCCTGCCGAAATCCCAAGCGAGCAATCCGCCCTTGAAGATGGAGAGGATCGAGGAGAAGGCTTGCCTGCAGATGTCCGCCAGGGGCTTGACCATCGCCAGGCCGCGCTCGACGAATCTCGACTACGAGGACATCGAGTCGCTGCCGGAGGTGACGACGACGACACCGACCTCGCCGACCCCGCCGAGGACGCCGCCGGCGTTGCCGCCGAAGCCGCAGTTCCGCAACAACACGCTCACCCTGAAGAAGATCCCGAGCCCGTCCTTCCTGATCGACGAGAAGAGGTCTCAGCAGCAGGACTCCGGAGGCGCGGATTCCGCGAGAAGAGGCATCCTCGAGTTGCTGTCGTCGTCGAGCTCGAAAGCGGCGAGAAGCTTGAACCTGGACGAGGCGAAGGGCTCGGTCAGGAGCTCGACCAGGAGCTCCACGAGGGAAGCGAGCGGCCGCGAGGAGGCCGGCTTCTGGAAGAGCAGGTTCAACCACGTGCGATCGTCCTTCCAGGCCAGGCATAAGGAACCGGACCAGCCGAAGGGCGCGGCGCGAGTGACGAGTATCGTCAGGCACTTCGAAGAGTTCAAGATCGGCGACCCCGAGGAACAGGCGACCAGGGGGGACAGGTCTCGCGCGAGGGAGCGACACGCCGAACTCGAGCACGTAGGTTTTTTCTCACGGCAGGAAGACGACGCACTGCGAGACCGTCGGCGTAGAACAAATTCGTGAATCGGAACTTTCTTTTTATCGAGTTCTCTTTACAAAAGTCACTTCAACCAGATCATCAGAGAACATCTTGTACGGTGTTAATTGATTAATCAAGACTCCCGTCTCCTCACGACAGCCATCTTGGTTAATAACGTCAGAAGCGAGAAAATATGTACCCAAAATACGTCGATGTCGAAAGAGCCGTAGAATTAACACGACGGAATCATGAAAAAAGATAGGGCTGGGAAGGGGGATTTGCATGTCACGTTCATTTTACGGCTGTTTATTGATTGTCAGAGCGGGAGGAAATTCCGAAATATTTTGCAGTGTCAGTCAACCGCAAGTGTGTGATATTATCGACGTCTCTTTTTGTTTCAACGTATTTTGCAACCTTGTTCGAAGTTTGATATTCAAGCGTTTTCTCGCTTCCGACGTCATCGAGCAAGACTGCAGCGAGGAAACAATGAGTCTTAACTTATCGAATAATAATCTTTGTTTGCTCTTTTTATCTTACATACACTTTTTTATATCTTTTCGTAATCCTTATATCTTTTATGTATTGTTTACATCTCTTATATATCCTTTTCATATCTCCCATCATCGCTTGGTTACATTTTTCGTATTGTCTCGGCGTAGTCGAGGTCGATCTCGATGTCGATATTGGGACGGCCGATATTCGAGCAACTAATCAAACTAAGCACATGGACAAAAGGACACAGAATCTATCTTCTCCTCAGGACTTCGACATACGGCAGAACTTCGAGGAGTTCAACCTGGACGAGTGCGACCTGTCGGACGATCCGGATCGGCCCGAAGGCGACGGCTCCGAGAGGCTGAGCCAGTCCTCGCTCAATAATCCCGGCCAGACCGAGAGCAGCATCGCCAAAGACAACAACAACGCACCCGGCAGCAGCGGCGAATCCGGGAACAGCGGTTACGATCACTTCCTGGAGGCGACCGGCCTCAGCAACAAGTCGATCCTCACACCGTCCAGGCTGCTGAGCAACCACAAGAGCATGCTGAAGCCGAAGGACGTGAAGTACAAGAGCAGGATCAAGGCGACGGCGGTGCTGGAGAGGCACGGGGTGCAGTCGACCGCCAGCAACACCACCACGCACGTCAGGCACTGGACAGGACCGTTTGTCTGACGGCTGGCCAATGTCCTGCCGGGCAAGATCTTCCGACCCGCCGTCTCGGCCGACAACTCGCCGATAAAGACGCTCCGGAGATCCTGAGAGTCGCCCGAGCGTCGCCTGACGCGCATCTTCTCCTCGTTGTGTACGCTTTTCAAACGCGAGTGACTCCCCTCCTTGAAGTGCAAAGTGGAATTCGACGGCACGGCGGTGTCGCGCGCGGGAGGAACGTTTCGTCGCGACGGAAGCGAGCTCTTTCACGAGCGTTTTGCCTTAGCAAATTGCTCGCTTGTGAAACGCGCGCAACGTGAAAACGTGTTATCTTTAATATAATGTCTAATGATAAAGTCGTCCCTGAGAATCTCGACGACGCAGGACAAAAAGCGATCGCCGCGTTTGGAGTTTCCGGGATCGGTTAATTTATTTTGTATCACCCGTCGAGAGAGAGAGAGAGAGAGGGGAGACGTTTACGAATACGCAACGTTGATTCAGTTGTTCTTGCTGTGAAATTATTTATATACGAACCCTTGTACGGTATCTGTAAGCGGAAAATATAACTCGTTTGGAAGTTCGATATGGAATGTTCATTTGGCAAAACGTTATATTACATTATATATCCGCGCGAGAAAATAATGAAAGGCGAAACGACCGCTTGCCGCCGTCATTATTTCATCATTCGTCGAATGAACACACCAAGATATATTGACAATTTCGGAAGAAACCTTGCTTTTCCCCATTCTTTTCGGCGGGTTTTCGCCTTCTCATCTTCCACACCGGAAAAAATACATATGGCAGATTTCTCAATCGAACACACGTGAATTCTCTCGAACGATGTTCTGCGCCGTTGGGACGGAGATCGAGAAAATCCGTGGAAAAAATGTGGGAAAGACGATTTCCAAAACTTACAAACTCTACCAAGATGCAAACAATCGGCGAGTTTTCATTCGCATGATCTTTTATTAAACTATCGTTTTACATATAGGTCTCTATGATAAATTACAATCGTGTGCGATCAATCGAGAAAATTTACGCAATGTGACGCTTACGCAAGAAGTATACAATATATAAAACGATACGAAGAGTTTCGGAGGGGGGAGGGGGGGATGAGTCTCATCTCGTTCCGCCGACGTCGAAACAATCGCGCTGCTCTCGTTTATCCGCGGAAGGAGGAGAACGCGTGAAACAAGACGCAGTCTCAGAGAATAATCCGTGCTAGTGTTTGAAAACGAAAAGCTCGTAACTATTGAATGAAACGACCGTGCTTGGTTGCACGTGGAAAAAAAAGCATGAGGAACACCTCGATGAAGAATTATTGTACAAGCGTTCGTGTCGAGTCTCCGTGTGAGAAGGAATCGGTGTACGTTCAGTGTGCGACAAAAAGGTGCGAAAGGAGAAAAAACCCAAGCTAAATGACTCTTTAGGCTGGATCTACAGTGGGGGAAACCTTTAAGTATTCTGCTCTAAGCTATTAAAAACGCTACGAAATGCCCTTTCGTCGTTAACCACGTTTTACATTTTATTGCTCAGAACAAAGGGAAGTCCGGATCTGCAAGAAGTGTAGTAAGTCTGTAGCCTTTCGTCCCCAAGCACAAAATTGTAACACAATTTCCAGCAAGAAGCATTTCCGGTGCTACAAGACGTCGCAATTCCGAGAATCCAAGCGCTGCTGTGCTTCTGGCGGTGCGAGGAACATGTCGTTGATCACGTTAGATTTCATTGCTCCGAGCGAAAGACCAAAGGATGACCACACTTATCGTAGACCCGGGTTAAAGGCTAGCCGTACACCTACTGTAGACCCGGGCTTATCGGCGCGAGGGTTCTCCGAAAAATCGTAGAGTCGACACGCGGGTGTCGCCGTGTTCGGCGAGTTCGTTCGCGCGGCGGAAGCGCAGATATGTGACGCCGGTAGGATCCGGACGCTCCGACTGAAGATCTCGAACGTATGATACAAGTCGTGTGTACATATACATACAAGTATAATCTCTGCTATCTCTATCAAAAAATACAACGCAAGTCTATAAAAATACAACGCTGTCGCCGGTATCAAAATCTAGAAACACGGGAACGTGGAAGAGCGGGAAGAAACGCTGTTACATCGAGTAAAATTTCTATTTCGTTCTTTCTTTCTTCTTTCAGATATAGTTAAACTTTATTCCCCCGATTATTTTCAAGCGCGTCGCGGGCTTTCATTCTCGCAGGGGGTTAGTATAAATCACTCGTTCAGGCACTCCATTACGCTTGGCTAATGTTACGGGTCGGCACGAACGAACGGCGGAGGGGAACGTTCGGTAGCTGCTCGTGAAGAGCCAGTTTTGGCACACCCTCCGCACCTCCCTCAAGTCTCCCTTTCCGCGCGGAAGTCGTAGAAGAACTGCAAGCATAACGTGTCGATTACTTCCGGCATGTAACAAGAGGAGGAGGAAGAAGGCACGACGTGTCTTCTCGCGAGAGCAAAAAAATCACTATCTACCTCTCTGTCCAGCTCCTTCTGCGTCCACACCTTGATGACGGGAAGTTTGTTCTGCTACGGAGGAAGAGAAACCATCGTTAAAGATAGTGATAATAAATGCGTGGTCGTTAAGAGAGAAGCATCGGCTCCTCCGCGAGTGCAAGCCGGCGCATACTCACGCTCGCGGAATCCGAATGAGCGGTGAGACGTGGATTAAGCGCAAACGGGACTCCGTCGAGATCGGACGATCCCGGAAGCGTGCCGTAGATGGGCGTCGACCCCGATGACGTGGGCGGTTGAGGCGCGGGCCTGGTCGGCCTGATCCTCGCGCTAGGAGAGAGGACCTCGTAATCTCGATCGCCCGGCTCGTCCCCGTCCTTGGCCGCCGCGCCGCCGATTTGCGGGTAGATCCCGTTCGCCGGCTTTGGTGAGAACTTTGGTTTCGGCGGCCGCTCCGGGGCTGCTCGGTGAGGGGTCCCGTTCGATGGATTCGGAGAAGCGCTTTGTAGTAAGCTACGGAAGAGGCGTCGGTCAGATGTTTGCTTATAGCCAGCCGATCCCGCGCGATAAACGCGCGTAGCAGATGTACATCAACGTCCGCCGAGATGGGGAATTAACGTATATTTACTAATCTCTTAATTCCACTCCATACGAAATTTTTAAATCTGTTTTATTGCAACTCTCTTAATTATCTTGTATGTATATTTTTTTTATTTTTCTTCTTGCACGAATTCCTTAAGTTCGCTTCGTACAGATCTCTCAATTCTTTTCTTATATAAATTTTTGAATTTCTTCTTGTATGAGTTCAGAATTTTTCTTCCGCCCGAATCTCTTCAGTTATTTCGCACGAATCTCTCAGTTTCTCAAGTTTTTCTATAAATTTCCGAGTTCTTTTCCGCGCAAATTTCTTCACTTCCTTTCGTGCGAATTTCATAACTTTTCGCACGGATTTCCTCAATTCCCATCCTTCTCGGGCAAGAATATCCTATCAGCCCAACATATCGACCCAACGGGCGATATATCCAACATTGACCTACATCCGCCGTATCGTGCGGGATCAGCTCGGTGCAAGATCAACATATGCCTTTGTCCGACGCGGAACAAACGCGATGACTCACTCTATATTAACGTACGACTGCGAGTTCGAGTTCGCATTTGTGATATCCACCGTCTTGTAGCACACGCGAACGCCGTTGATGATGCTGAAAGAAGCGGAAGACGCACGTCGGTGAGACACCGAGGAGCCGTGGGTTACAGGAATGTCGTGCGAGAGGCGTAGGATTAAATCGGTGACATCACGAGATAACGAGGCTTACCCAGCAGCGGAGAAGCCAATGGGAGCTATCTTGGAATCCTTGTGAATTATCCTGCTGCATATTATGATATCCGTGACCGCTTTCTCGCAGAGGTCCTTACTCCTAAGTTTATAGCACACCTGTTTCTTCCGCCACGCCTTCTGCCCTGCAAAGCCCCGCCGTGATTAAGCATCGACGGATGATCCGTCAGGAGGCAGATAGACAGATAAGGACAGCCGATAAGGTCAACAGCGAGAACTCACTCGAATCCACGGTGTACGAGATCATGCAGTAGCCATCCGGCGGGGTGTCGCGCTCGTTGATCACCACGATATCCTCGACCACGCAATCCGATTGGCCCTCAGTCTTGGAGAAGCAGATGTATCTGCCCTTTTTCTTTATGAACAGTCCACTTTCTCTCCATAGGTCCGCGTCCGTATCCTGGTCGTACGTCCTCGACACCTGAAACGTTGCGTGATTATCACCCGATGAACATTAATCAACAATAACATTACATCGATGTTATAATTAATAAATATAAATAGCTCGATCATACTTTGACGCGTTATCGTTAGTTGATATTTACCGGGTGGTATCGGTCAGTACACTGAGAAAAAGAAAAGCACCGGTCACCTTCACGCAAAAAAAAAACATTGCGTCCACTGAACAAGAAATCGCTGACTCGTCACAGCGACCGTATAATTTGTTCAGCGGACTGGACAAACTTGAGAAGAAATTTACTCGTATAAACAAAACCTCGTTGAGTCATTTTCTTTTCTCAGTGTATCATCACGCTTATTTGTACACTGAGAAAAAGATTTCTTCAAACTTAATCAATTCTATCGCATCCAAACAAATTTCACTATCGACATGCTCCAAAGAAACTAATATTTCGATTAACAAATACGATTGCCAGACTTTCTTGACGAATATGTATCTTTACCTTAAAGAAAAAATTTGAAACGAAAGGTAATTCGTTTATAAAGAAATTATTTGTTTCGTCTTACATATTTATTTTAACCAAATCATATTTCATTCGGATCGAAAGATATTATTTAAGATACATAAGACGATGAAATGTTTACTCCAACGAATAATACTTCGTACATGTTGTTTCCGTGAAACAAATTTTAGTCGACTAAATAGGAGTACTAAAATCTAAAGAAACCTTATTCTCTGTGTACATCGTCTAGCATCGTCTTCGGCGAAATCGCCCGACGAGATCGGACAGAGACGCAACTCGCTCATACCACTGTGAAGTTCGGCGGACACTTGTCGACGTCCTCGACGACGCCAATGGCAGTTATTGGCCTGTCGTCCGGCAACACGGACGACAGCTGATGAACCAACATCTTGCAGTTGACCTTCTTCGACATCTCTGGGTGATCCTCCCGCTCGTTACCTGCCGATTCACACATCATCAGGGGGATTCGACGAGAGCGCGTCACACCGTGCGAATTCACGCGCGCAATTTCAGCGAGCAATAGCGACGAGATCGGCGATTCGAGAGTGACTTCGAAAGCCTCTCGCTGAATATTTGTCGCGGGCGAGATTAGATAATACAAAGAGGCGTCATCGTCGTTGTCGTCGTCAATAACAGATAACGAGCGATTCAAAAGCCGATACGCGACAGGGTATAATCGGGCTTTTGGGACGGCCGTTTCCCCCGTGGAAACACCCGGGACGCGGGATCATCGCGCCAAAAATACGCTTAACGTGACCGAGATTCTCCGCTACGGCGGGCAGGCCGTAAGCGATCGGCTATGAAATCGGACTCGTTAATCCCGCCGACGTAGCGATCGAACGTTGCCCGTCTCTCTCTCTCTCTTGCTGCAGCACCTCTGCGCACTGCTCGTTAATCGATGCGGGAGCCGCGAGTTTCCACGGGGGAAAACGGGAGTTGTAAAGGCCGACCGGTCAGTGTTCTTATCGCGAGATACGGCGCTTTAATTGCTTCGTGGAGTTCCCGTGTGTGGGCGAGCTGCGTTAATTATCGCCGTTAATTACGATCACAATGGTAATCGATCCGTTGCCTCGGCGTCCGGGACAATCGCGCGCCGGAAATTTACGTCCCTCCTCTACGTCGTCGTTGTGAAATCCTATTAGCGAGGAGGAGTGCGAGTGAGTCGTCTTCGTTGTTGCCGACAATGCCGGGGGGAGTTCGACTGGTCTAGTATGAATTAACAAGCTGAGTTGAAGGGTCGAACGAGGAAGGCGAGATGGAGAGAGAGAGAGAGGAGAGAAAGAACGTAAAGTGGGACGCACGTCGGCGATCTCTGTGTGTGTGTACGTGTGTGTTCGTGAAAAAACGTTGCAACGTGGTCGAGAGTGATGTACATCGTCGTGTTGTGTAGAAAAGGTCCGCCGAAACAACTCGAATCGAGTTAAACGAACCATCCACTTCAGAGTTGTGAACTAACTTGTACTTGTGAACTAACCGCCCTGATTCTCCCAGGGAATTTCGAACGTTCGCTCGGAAGTCTCCCGTTTGTGCGAGCTTCGAATTTAGTTCGAGGCGATCGAAAAGCCGACCTGGCCAGACATTATCGGTCCCAATTATCGTCTAATTAATTTATTTAAATTTTCCATCAGAGATGGAGTTTATCTTTCAGTTCAAATTCCCACGTCAGATTGCCAATCCGATTTTTTATTCGATCTGATCGCCGGTTTGTACGACAAAATTTACGTAACCCCTGAGACTCGGTTCTCTCTCTCTCTCTCTCTCTCTCTCTCTCTACTCCAATTTCCTTCTCAGCTTTGCAAGTTCTAATAAAGCCTTAATAAAGTGAGCTTTTATCAGGTCGAAAATCGCTGGACTCTCTGATCGCTCCTATCGCGTCTGAATAAAAGTTACAGTACGATGTGATACATAATACGATAAGATACGTCAGTCAAGCAGTATGAAAATTATTGATTAGCCGAATAATCGATAATCATAACGTATATGTGCACATCCGCATGCGATGCGAACGATTAGATAGACCCGTGAGAGCTTGGTCTGCTGAATGTCAGAGCTTCGTCGAGACTTAATGTATAAAGCGCGATCTCTCAGACCGCGTGACCATCGCCGGGAGTCCCTCGATACCCCGCCTCCCCGCTGTCGTTCATAAAAACAAACAAATGTCTCAACTGGTGGTGGGTATCTATTAGCTCGAAACTATTAAAAGAAGACGTGGAGGGCGGCAAAAGTGCCGGGGAAGAATGTTTGGAACAGACCGACAATCGTCGTTTCGCCGGACCTCCCACCGGTCAACATTTATAACGTAAGACAAATTTCGAACGGCTGCGAATTTTGTGATCACCGAGTCCTAAGATCGTTCGATAAACTTGTAGGATTCAAGCTCGCCGCTTTTGTAATCGGGGCAATCGCTCAATAACGCATCGACCGTTTTTCTCCGGTGACCTGCTATCGAAAATAAAACGAAACAAAAACAAATTAAACCCCTGTCCGGCTGTAAAAAGATCGACTTCGAATTTATCGTAAGAATTTCCACGAATTTATCGAACAACTCAATACCTTCTCGGAGAAGTAATGGACGACACGAAACGGCCGATGAAAGGCGAAGAAGGCTCACTTTGTCCGATGCCTACAAATTCGCCCGACTCGTCCGCACTTGAATAAAATCAGAACAGAACAAAATTAACCGAACTTACCCCGAGACTTTCGCGTAACGTAATCCAAAGAAGCAACGAGTACAATCGAGAACGCCGTGTCGAGGCGTTTTCAACCGTTCGCATGCGCGATATTTCGAAGCGCGAATACTCGTGAATTCCGTAATTAAGTCGGCACGCGTCTTATTAAGCTCTCATCGGCCTCCTCCCGGCGACTCGTCCGAGCGAGTTCTCCGTCGCGAACGACATCGTCATGGGAAAATACGGGACATTCTCGCCACGGTGTCGCCAGTCATCGTCGCACGTTTTGCGTCGTCGTCGTTGATGTCGCAACGCACGCCAGGAGGACGATGACAATCCGCTTGATCGCTCGATTCAGATACCTTATCCTCGCGATATCTCCGCCACCCACCACCTTGGCGAGCGCAAAGTTGCCACGGAAGAATCGACGCGTTCCGTATCGCGTTTCGCATACCGACCGACCGTCTCGGGCGGGTAAACAAAGCTGGGGGCGACAGAACGCTCGACGCGCGCCAGGTGCGCGGTATGCCGTACCGAAATAGACGCGTGTTTACGTTTCTCGCAGTTGCGGTTCTCGGCCGTCGCATGGAGATCGAGAAGAAAAGAGAGAGAGAGAGAGAGAGGCCTCCCGGAGAATCGGCTTCTCCGGCGGCGCTTCGTCGTGCGTCGAGCGGACAACGGCCGATCAGACGTTAGACGGGGAGACTGAATGCCGGATACGCACACACGAGATGCTTTCGCCCGAGGCGGCCTCGGTGGGGCCGGTTCGCTCAGCCGTTTAACCGTCAAGGGCGTGCTTGGCCTCGCCTGCAAGAGAGAGTCCGTCGAAAGAAGCCGTGCGGATGTGTGTCACGCGTACACAACCGACGTAACATCAGCGGCAACCTCGGCACACGAAGAATGATATACCCTTCCGGAGCGCGCAACGTGTGTGTATCTCTCGTAGGAAGCTCCGACGCAACTCGCCGTATCGAACCGTATTATGTCTCCGGTCTGCGTGAGAATGTGTTACGTGTTTGCGAGTACATACAGTACAGCAGTGGGCTGGCGCACGAGGAATCACATCCTATCGCGATGTATCTTTCGAGAACGGTGTTCGGAGGCATCACGCTCTGCCTAAGTGAGGATGTGTGTTATGTACGTGTATACATGACCGAGATAACACAATGGTCTTACTAGTTCATAAAGTTATGCTCTTCCAGGACACACTTGGGGCTCGAAAATGATGCAATTTTGCGTACAAAGCTATTGCGTCCGGTCTGTGCGCGGATACGTGTTAAGTACGCGTGTACACAATCGACGTGATATAACAGCCTTGGACACAATGTATCTCTCACGGGAAGCTCGAAAATGGTGTAACCTCTTGTGTTAAGAATATTATGTCCGACCTATAAATGTGTGTGTGTAGACGCGAAGACGCTTCGTCCACTCTAATCTCGCCGAGATTATTGGCCATGCGAGATCGGCCGGCCGTACTCGGAAGATTCTCTCTCTCTCTCTTTCTGCGTTCGGGGGCGACGTCGACCCGAGCGCGCTCGATAGAGGCTGACCTTATCGCGCGGCGGAGCGCCGCGACCTTTGTCCTTCTCCTCTGCTTCGTCGTTGTCTTCTCCTTCACACCGCCACGCTCTCCGCACTGACACAGCGACGACGGTACGACGCGACGTGACCCCGCTCGACGATTTTCATATTTCTCGACGGGCGACGCGGACGACACGTCAACCGACGGCGGCGACGGCGTCGAGGGAGCTCACATCACCATCGAGCGAGGAGACGCGTTGCGAAACTGCTCGAAAAGTCGCCGAGTGCCGCCGAGGCCCGCTCGGTCGCGTTCGATGATGTTCGGTAAAGTTCGCGGCGATCTTCGTCTCGTCTCTCGTTTCCACAGTGTGTCTGTACGGCGTCGCGATCGGAAGCGAGCCGAGGTTCGCTTCGAATTCGCTGAGAAGTATTCCTCCGGGTGGAGTGGATCCTTTCTATTGGACGTCGGGCGCATTCCGAAGTTGATCGCGAGAAAGAGAGGGAGAGAGCACTGTCGAGACGGTGTGAGTGGCGCGAGCGTGTGGACGCCGCTTAAGCTCCCTATCGGCGCGCATGCGCGGTATTTCTTGTTGCGTCAACCCCGCTCTTTATACGTGCGCGATGCAATTGTGGCTTGACATTTGGCAAACACCACTTGCCTTTTAATCATCGATCGGGACGGTCGTGCGCTGACGGGTCTCGGTCTACGTGATCACGTCGCATACCCAAGAGGTCGAAAGTGATCTTGTTTTTCTGGCACACAATATTATCGTCTGTCACATCGCGAGAAACCGATCAAAATGTCCTTTAACAAGGCCGAGGCGAACAAGATAGTGTTTCTTCACTCGAATAGCGGCGATATGGAGGAGGATAAGGTTAGTACGTTATCAGTTGTTCAATTTTGCAATAAATATTAAAAACTGAACGCCGGATATGATTTCAATTCAATTCGAGCGATCTCGTGCGCCGTATATGTCAGTTTTGACGACATATCGATGTTAGATAAATTATCGGGACTTTTCGGAACCGATGGCCTGAGTGTTTTGATATGATATTGGTATCGTATCATTAGGTCTGTTCGTTTTATGTCAGTATTTTATGTACCAACGTCGATTAAATCTTATTCTCTATTTGGCTCAAGTCTCTATTTGAAGAGAATTTCGCTCTAAGCTCAAGCTCTAGTTCAGTGAAAAAGAACAAAGTTATTTTAATATATACGCCGGTATTACTGGTTATCATATCATTGTAAATATCATGGAGCTGATTCATGACAGCTCAGCGTATATACATATACAATACTTTGACATAACATTTTACAAATGTTTCTAAACTGATATTTGATAATATAATAATTCTGAATATTAAAATCATAATGTGAAAACATTATTTTTAATGTTTTGATCAATTATTGTTAATAATGTTTTATACATCGTTAAGAATTATATATTTGAAAACGTTACATGTTCTAAAATCTGTTTGTAATAATATTGTTTTAATGATTTCTTGCTTACTGGGACTTTCGTGACATTTCACAACAAAAATCATATGAAGAAAATATGTTGCCTTGATGTGCTGGAGTAAACAAAACATTATGTACTAACTTTATTGCATAATGTTTTTGCAGAAATTATTGGAACCACTTACGTACATGCTAAATACTCCTGGGAAAGCAATTAGAATGACCATGGCTAAGGCCTTCAATTATTGGTTGAAGATACCAAATGATAAACTTCAGGAAATTAGTGAAATTGTGAATATATTACATACTGCAAGTATTATGTAAGTTTTTATCTTGTCAGATTTTCATTTGTTTGTTGTTAATTACATATTTTTTACTTTACATTTCTATTACTTCCTATATTTTATAGCACAACTCAGTCAACACTTTCAGTTGCTGCTATATAACTTAGAGATAAAAGTTATGTAATGAATGTGTTGAAACAGTTATATTATAGTTATATTACAGTTTTTATTGTTCATTTCTACACAACTGCATAATCAATACATTGAGTTGCTGCTATCCCAGCGAGAAATGACTCGTCAAATCGATGTCAAAATAACTGAAATGACGTCAATTTGACATCGATTCGATGAGTCATTTCTCGCTGGAATATAACTTGGAAATTAAAAATTATACAACAATTATATTATAATAGTTATAGGATGGTATTCAGTTGTATCTTATATTTGAGACCATCTTAAGTTCATCTTGAAATGTTTCGTAGCCGATCAAATGAGCCGTACAGCATCTGAAGATAAACTCAAGACGGTCTTAACATATATGTAATATCCACGAGGTATGAAGCAAGATATTTAATATATGCATATTGCTTGCACTTTTGAAAAAGAATGACATTTTTATGCAGGTTGAATACGAGTAACGTATTGTACGATTTATCACACGAATATATGTGCGGCCAGTCATAGGATGATTGCAGCAAAACTTCGCAAAAAGACAGTGTTAGATAATTACTTAATAAATCAATAATTCTTGTTGAATATAAATATTCAACAACATTTTATATTGAATATTTATATTCATAATTACTTAATAAATCAATAACTCATATTCGATATAAAATATTGTTGAATATATTATTATATTCAACATGAGTTATTGATTTATTAAGTAATTATGAATATAAATATTCAATATAAAATGTTGAATATAAATATTCAATGAATCAATTTTAAGTGGAATATTTAGTTCTTACTACATCATTGCATATTTTAATACGTACATATATCATTTTAGTTGCTGTCTGTTCATTTACTATGTGCGTGAATTTGCATTTACACGTACGTGAATTATAATTCACTTCGTCATATCTCTCGTTCCGAAGCATGTAAAAAAACGACAGTCCTGTGATCGATAGTACAGCGAAATGAAAACAATGAACAAAACACTCAGGTGTACGTATATTCGTGTGATAACAACACGCCCGAGTTGAAGAAGAATGAAGATGTGTAATTAAATAGGAAAATATACTTTGAAAACGTTTCGAAATGCCCAAAAGTAAAACTGCGTTATAATAAATGCCGACTATTGTGTATTAGTGTTATTATGTAATAGCGGATTACTAAATAATTCTACAAAGCAATCACTATAATATAACGTCTAATAATGAAGACATTAAGGTGGTCGTAATACTTACAAGGGCCACGTAACACCTTCCCCTATATATCTTTTTTGTCAAGTTATTTTTTGCACCGATATAACATCTCTTTCGAAGGATCGATGATATTGAAGACAACGCCATGTTAAGAAGGGGAATGCCTGTGGCTCATTCAGTTTACGGGACTGCTCACACGATAAACGCATCAAATTACGCCATGTTCATCGCTCTGGAAAAAATAATGGCTTTACAACATCCAGAAGTGAGCATCTGAATTAATTTCAAATACTCACGACAGTTCTCTCATCTTAATATAGTTCAAAATGCTCAATGTCGTCTCTTTCCAGGCGGTAAAAGTATACACCGAGCAGTTGCTGGAACTTCACAGGGGTCAAGGAGCAGATATTTATTGGAGAGATAACCATATTTGCCCAACTGAGTTTGAGTACAAGATCACGGTAGTAAGAAGTAAATAACGATGACTACGCATTTGGCGTGAGATCGTGTACACAGAATATAGTTAAGAATCCATTAACCTTGTAGAGACCGGCGGCCTCTTCAAGCTGATAGTACGATTAATGCAATTGTTCACGAAATTCGAGGAGGACCTCTCGTCACTGTCGGACACTCTGGGATACTTGTTTCAAATACGCGACGATTACTGCAACTTGTGCGTGAAAGAGGTAAGCGATTGGTAATTTCCGTAGTGCTCCGTGCGAATCCGAAGTGACGTAATCAATCTGTGCCACAGTACAGCGATAAGAAAGGTTTCTGCGAGGACTTGACGGAAGGGAAGTTCAGTTTCCCGATTGTTCACGCGGTGCAATCCCATCCCGAGGACACGCAAGTGCTCAGTATCCTTCAGCATACTGTACATACTTCGACGAACATGTCGTTTACACAGCAAAATATTTGTTCTGTACCGAATGCAGCTGAGCTGCCTCTCCAGTGCGACGTCGCCAATGGCGGTCAACTTCCTTCTTCCTTAACAAACTCACACGATAAAGATCTGCTGAAACAACGGCCGGAGGAGATCGAGATTAAACGGAAATTCGTGGATCTCCTGGAGAAGTTCGGTTCCTTCAGTTACACGAAGAAGAAAATCCTGGAGCTGGACGCGGACGCGAGGAGGGAGATCAAACGCTTGGGCCGCAACCCGCTGCTGACCGAACTCCTGGACAATTTGTTGGAGATTACCAAGGACTGTGATAAGGAGTGCAACAGTGTCAAAGAAATACCCGATCCCAACCGAGGATTAGGGATCTGAGCCTAACATCTTAATCTCTAAGTTTAGGATTGTTTTCATATTTTTCTATTGCGAAGTTGGATTTCTTCGTAGCGCGTAATTAATATAATGGGACATCGCACTTTTACAGAACTTTGGACGAGATCGACGATAATCGATAATTATCGTTTCTTCCTTCTTTTCATTGTTGATGATCATTGGAATCGATGCTTTGGGGTAAATCGGCACTTTAGATGTACCAACAATTACGATCTCTGTCACGCAGCTTGTTTCCGATATAGATCGAGAATGCACAATGAAAATTAGTCGCCCGTTCGAAATCGTTTATTGGCAATGTTTTTCTTACGGTGAGTGTTACAATCATTTACCGACATACGAGAACGAAAATGTTTTTTGTACGTCATGCTGTTATACAAGTATTATTATTATACATTTGTACCTGTGTATGATTCCGAAATACATTGATGACATAAAAGAGTCGTCGGTTCAACCGACAGACGTATCTCTATCTAAGAAAAATATTTGCGCGTACAGCCGCTCTTTCTTCGCGCGTTAAGGCCCTCACGGTCCCTCGCCGCGGTCGTTTCCTCCTTGACAACGTTAGAGGCGAGAAAATTGCGCGTCCAAAATTCTTGCGGGATACGTCGAAGCAAAAGAGTACGGCCTGTAAAATGGCACTTGCGATCGAGCGAGCGTATTTGTAAAATACTTGGAAAACTTTCCTCTCGTTCTAACCATCAAGAAATAACAGTGAAATCGATGACATCATACGACGTGTAATCTTCCCATTTGGCCTGTCTCTTATCATGATTCTGTCGCGTTCATTTCAAGTTATTTAGCAATTGTTTAAATATATGTAACATAAGTACATATGTACCATCTTATGAGCACATATTCTTTAACTTCAACGTATTCCTCAAGACTTTTAGGCACGTTAAACGCAGTCTACACTGGGCAGTAGGAGTATGTATCATAATAAATAAGAATAAGAAATCGACCAATCATATTCGAATGTAAGGAGAATGATCGGATATGATTGGTCAATTTTTTACTATTCTTTCACATAAACGTACTCCTACCGTAGACCACGTTTTACGTTTTACACTCGCCTCCGACGTCTTTAATTAAGAAGACTGCGGCGAAGAAACAGAAGTCCCAATTATCGTCTTATCCTCACATCGTCGTTTTGCAGTCCCTCTCTGATCATCGTTTCTCTCTCTCTCTCCGTCTCTCTCTATCCCTTTAGCCCTGCGGATCTCTCGCACGATGAATTCCCGTTCCTTTAATCCGCCCGCACTTCTGAGAGGCGTCATCTCGCCCTCGTACGTTCCTCATCCTCGCCTCGAGCGGAATCATCGACGCGCTATCGACACCTCCTCCTCGCAGGACGAGATTGAATCGGGGGAGGGATTTTCCTCCGCTTCCGTCGCCGGTGACTAAGACAGCGTGGCGATCTGACAGGTCCTTTGTTCCGGCTCGCTGTCCTCGTCGGACTCGCTGGCCCAGGAGGGCCGTCGCTCGTGTCATATCTCGCCGTCGCTGTCCCCGGGACAGCGTCCTGGTGCTGACACTCCGTCGTCGAGGACCTCCGTCACCTCGTAGGAGTATATAATAATCGGCAGAATTAATCAAGCAAAAAAATGCCCGCGGGAAATAATGAATATATAACTAATGAATTTTGCGAAAAAAGCGGAGGAAAACAAGTCACGTAAACATCTGCGTGTACGTGCGTAACAGTGTTGCGTAAAACGTCGATTGGATTACGCAAGCGGAATGTGCATTTAAGAAAGTTTAAGAAAGACCGGTGAAGCGGAGGAATCGCGCAAACTACAGGAGACGGATTTTCCGCTAGCACGCGAACAGTGAGCGTATTGAAAGGATCCTCGACGCCGGATGGGTCGGCCGGGGGAGGAGAGTGAAAGGGAGGATGCGCCGTCGATAGGGTGAATTTCGAAAATACTCACCAGAACCTCCTCAAAGCGGTCGTAATTCTCCTGCCTGGAGTTCAAGAGGCTCTCGCCGACCGAGTCGGTGCCGGTGCTCGATTGGCAAGGACCTCGGCGTCCGAGCGCGCTCGATGCAATATGCAACAAGGACAGCACCGCCAACAGGCCAGCTGCGGAATACATAGGTATATAGCGGGTTTCTTACGGAAATAGAGAGAGAGAGAGAGAGAGAGACAGGTAAACGAGCACAATTCGGGGTTTACGTCTTTACCCGCGACGTAGGACAGCCAGAGCCGGTTGGGTCGCCACGCCAGGATGCAGGACAACGGCAAGTAGAATAACGCCCGCCGCCAACCCCGCGTCGTCGCTAAGACACCCAGCCAGCAGTGCGAGCAAAGGGAATCCTCGTTCCTGGGGACACGAAACGTCAGGCGTTTCTTTTCTGCGGTATATATATACACTATATTATGCATTGAGAGGGAATACATTTTTATAAACTAAGCAAGGTACACAGGCTCGATGAAACTCGACAAGAATCCTACAAATATTAAAGGCCATAAAAAGCCAAGGATAGGTGTTCTAGTGTCATTAAGACGAGGAGTGGTGCACACGTGTGTGTTATAAAGATTAAGTCGAATCTTCATTAGGTGAATAGCAAGCCAGCAAAAACGCCAAGTAACAATAGCCTCTTACGAAAAAGTGACACTAGCATTCGGTATTTAGTAAAAAGAAATTTAAATTCGATTCAAAAAGTGAACAGAAAATAAGAAACTATAAAAAAAGAGCATTACGGACTATTGTTTTCATCCTTGAGTTTCAAAAGTCAATCGACTTCTTGACATTTTTTAACTATCTCACTTTGACCCTAGCTAATGTATGTTTTGTACTTTTTTCAACATTCAATTAATTTATATATCGACAACCTCTTATGATTTTATTGTACTGGAGTAATTTAAATTTCTTTTCGCTTTTCTTTTGAAAAGAATTCAGAAAAGAACCGAAACATTTAGCATTTATTTAATAAATAGTTGAATAGATCATAATCTTTGCCACATATTTTATCTTCCCTCGTCTTAAGGCTCCGGAGTAATCGCTACGATTGCTCTCGTTTAATGATGTCAGAAGCGAGAAAACGTATGCCTCGATTTTTAGTACGTCAATGATATCGCGCTCTAATCCAGACGTTACGTAATGCGCGTCGGGCCGTGTGCGTGCGTAACACGACGATCGCGTTGCGTAACGCAATTCGACGGAAACTCGGCGACGATCACATTGACGAGGAAATTGCCGGGAAACGAGCCCGCGACCCCGAAATTATCAGGGAAATTTCCACGGTGGCGCGTGTCGTACCCGCCCGCCGCCCACCGGAACACACCGTTGATTCACGAAATTAGTCGCGGTAGACGACTAAACTCGCCCTTAATCGATTCCCGGCGAATTAACGTTGCTATGTCGGCAACGACGGTGAGGACGAGAAAGAGAGAGAAAGAAGCAAAGGGATAAAAACAAACGCGAACTTTCGTCGTCGTCGTCGTCGTCGTGGAATTTTCGGCGCGGGCGACGGCGACAGAAACGATGAAAACGAGCGTGTCTGCGGGAAACTCGCTTTCCCAGAGCGACGTACATCCCCTCGTCCTCCCGCCGCTTCCACCCCGCCCCGCTCGATCATCTCGCGCGTGGATCCCACGAGTGGTGATCGATCGTTCGGACGCGCACTTTTAATGGCACCATCGGGGCGTAACTTCCACGAGCGGCCGACCCCGTCAGTTCCGGATGGATCGTGCCAAGTTGCTCGATAAAACCCGATCTCACCGCGGAAACTTCTTCCTCAGCCCGACGCCGGCTGCCGAATACGCGAAGGATGCCAGGGCGACGTCCCTCACATCGGTCCCCGCCGGTGATCGATATGCGGGAGGCGCGATGAACAGTTTGATCAGCGACTGTGTGATATCGAAGATCCGAATTTATCCCGGGATGAATTTTGGCCCGAGGATGCAACCTTCTCCCGGGCGAATTAATTAAGGAAACACGGGGGAAACGGTAGACGGGAGAAACCCTTCTCGGGTCGAATATTTCTGGGTTTTCCACGATCAAAGTAAGTTAGTTCATAGAACGCTAGCCGGGTAGCTAGAATAATAAGCCAAATCACGAGTCTTGCGACTCTGTTTAGAATTAATATGGCTGAATAAATCGAAACAAGTGTTTACGGCCGCGGATATCCGCATTTCTCGTCTCGCTGAATTGTAATCCGTTCCCCTTCACTAAATCGCACTTTACCTTCCTTGCCGTTCGAAATAAATGTTTGCGCCCGGTACGGAGGAAACAGGTTTCGCTGGAGCAGCGAATTGTTTGTTAACACGGTGACGACAAAACAATTTACCACACGGATCATTACAGCAATGAAATTTAGTCGGCACAACCAAGTTACTTTTGCCGTCTGTCCAGCGAACAGCAATTCGTATTATTAACAAATCCTTCTGCCGTTCAAAACTTTTGCTACGAATTTGTTTTTCTCGCTGTTATTATGTTAACGAACAATTTGCTGTTGCAGCGAAACTTTTTTCTCCGTGAAGATCGACGCGCCGGTGAGCGTGTTGATTTCGTTCGAAATCAATTTCGAACGCGGGCGATGCGAGACCCTCTCATTTGGAAGCCTAATTACGGTGCTCGCCTCGCCCTTTGCACGGCGGAGCCGTTATCTAGTTTCGCCGCGGTGGCCCGCGTTTCCTCCGGCTGCTCGCCGGCGACCGGGAAACGCGGGCTGAAAACTGGGGCGAACTTCCGACCCAGCTTGGTAATTGCCGGCCGCTTCTTTTCCGCGTTATCCTGCGGGCTCGGACTACCTCGGTTCCCCGGGGCCCTTTTAACCCCTCACTCGTGCAACGAGCGTGTCGTGCCTGATGCGAGGTCCCCGTTTCGGGCAGCAATTTGCTCGCGAGGTTACGGCGACACGTATGCGCCGCATCGCGTGTACTGATTTATACCGATGGAGAAAATGAGGAAAAGAGTGATAAAAAATGAAGGAACGAACATGTAAAAGAAATGAGATCGGAGACATTTTTAACCAATAGAGAGGAAAGCCGCTAAAACTGACATACCATTTTGTTTTTAGGAGCGCTGTCGAAGGTGTGAAATTAAAATTTACGTATACACGGATGCAAAGCCGAGTCGAAATTTCAGTTCTACATGAAGTCTTTGAAAGGTCTTCTATTGTGTTCCCCTTTGATGCCGCAAACGGGAAGTTATTTCTGTTTTCTTCAGCTTGAAGACGTAACGCAGAATTCCAAATTTCCCGACAGGTCTAAATTTCCTTCGTGGCGTCAAAGGAACGTTATTAGCGGCCCTTTGATGCTACAAAGGGAAAGATATTGCCATTTTCTCCACTTGAAGATTTAATGTAGAATCAAACAGACCCAACGTGGGACTAAAATTTCGACCACCAACACTTCTTCTCTACCAAACCAAAATACACGACAGTCTCGTGAAAATTATTACACATTATGCGACTGTCCGGAATGGATTCCGATCGGAATAATTCCGCATTAAACGCTTCTCTCACCAGAACATACGATGGTTTTGTGAAAATTACAATTATTAAATTATTATTACGGAGCTGTTCGGAATCGGATTCCGATCGGAATAATTCCGTTTCTCCTAGAGAACACACTAGAAATCTAGGAAATAAATGAACAATCACGAGCAATTCCGTAATAGTCGCCCCGTTCAGACGTACCTGACGCACAGCTGCACGAACAACGTGATGGCCCAGGTGACCTCGAGGAAGAAGATGACACCCGACGCCGCCCTGTAAATTCGAGACGCGCGCCTCAGCGAGGGTTCCAGCTCTTCGGGAAATCGACGATGACACGGAACACTCCGCGGCCTCGTTAAGTGGTCGCAGGCGTTACCGGAAGAAGCCAGCTCCAGAAAGTTGGCTGCCAACGGAAACACCTCGGGCGCGACGCGACGGCGAACTCTCCGAGGACTCCTGCGCGGCTTTCCCGTCTTCTCACGGGTGTGTGTACGCTCAGGTGATAAGGCGTCCCTTTTCACGGGAATACTCGTGAAGCAATGAAAACCCGTGACACCCGACATCGTCGCGGGAAATTTCGCGACCGGGCCCGTCCGGGAGAATCACCATCGGTGATTAACGCGTTCGTCACCGCCTTTTATTCGGGGGAAATTTTCCCTACAGATAATCTCGTTTTTCCTTTTCCACGTAATCGTGTAAAACAAACTTGAGGTAACTTTCACCAAAGTCCGATTAAGCTAATCGACGATTTCAAGTAGCTCCAGCATAAAATGAGTTTTTTAAGAAATTTATACCGCTATATGTAGATATAAGTATGACCTAATTATTGGTGCAATTATAAGTAGACTCATTCGGAGATATTCTCAACTAAAAATGACTTTTTATACGTATTCCTTGAGGTTAATTTTTGATTTTTAACTTGTATTTTTAATTTTCTCTAAATTACAATTATGATTTTGATAGAAAAAACTACCCTGACGTTGAGGACTTTTTCCGCATCTTCAGAACCGCGTTTCGATCGTGAAGAACCAGGTTGAAGAACCAGGAAATTTCTTTCCTCCTCCCGCGAAACGCGACTTAATTACGTCTACGTTAATTCGACCCTTTTCTTCTCGTTTATTAAAACACACGACGCGCGAATGGAGAGCGTTTTTCTCCGGGATTTTCCCACGCTATACGCGATATCTCCGCGACGCCGCGAAACTACGTAATTTCGTGGAGGAGCCCATCGTCGAAAAAGACATTTCTCACGAGGCACTCTTTCCCTCATCTCGCATGCAGCGGGAAAACGCGCGGGAAAACGTCCCCCCTCCCCCCACCGGTAGATACGTAGACGTACAAAAGGGGAGAATATCTAATTAAGAGCCATTGTTCCCCGCAGCGATATTTTGCGGGACGATTCCGCTGTTAATGTTAATGCGGGCGGGCGGGCGCGCGTTGTCGTTAATATAAATTGAAAACGGAAATTCGACGCGCGTGTCGGGGTGCGTCGGTGTGTGTCGTGAATTATGGACTTAATGCACACCGCGACGGGGACGATTAGCGCTTCGCTTTTTCAAAACTACCGGGGTTCAGCCCTTTAGCACGGCTCTCTCTCTCTCTCTCTCTCTCTCTTTCGGGCATTCATGTGCGCTGAACGCAGTGGGAATCTCCCGTTGAAAGTCCCTTTTTACGAGAAAGATTACGAGTCCAGGTGAGGTAAGACCATCGGAACTTCTTCATTCTCCCCGGTAGCGCCAAGTAAATACCGCCTTAAAGATAATCTCGTTCCAGTAGTCGCGCTTCCGCACCCGCTCGTCGATAATCTAATCGCAACCGAATTAGATCTCTCAGTCGAGGGACTCGTGGAATCGAGTCGCCCGGGAAATAGAAGGAAAGAGAAAGAGAGAGAGAGAGAGAATGAGATGAGGGAAAAAGGGAAGGGGAGGGAAGGCGAGAGAAATTTTCGCGTCTCAGATTTTCAATACGTCGTTCAACGTTCGGCGAATTATGTACAACACTTAACAAAGCGGTCCCCCCCCTTCCTCTCCCCCGGGAGCTGTAGTGCTGCACCTGGCGAGAACACCACCCCCCCGGAAGCCGTGAAAGTTCCGTGGAATATAATGGAGGCCGTGGATAAATTAGGATCTCACGTCGGTCCTCCTGTAAGCCGAGCGTGCATCATCCCGCTCGTCGTTAACATAATAATTTACATACGTAAGTGCCTACGTTGTTTGAACGCGGCGGATCACGGCGGGACGATATCGTGTGGGGGTGAAGCATCGCGCAGGAGACTCGAAAATCGCAACCATCTGCGTCACCTTAGACCCCGCCTTTGATCGTGCGGCCGGGTGCACCGTCGATCGTAGATCTTCCCGATGGCACGTCGTCGGTCGGCAAATTTGCAATTGAGAATTTTCGATATTTTCAAAAACGAAATCGAACGGCACGTGGATTTGCCGTTCGAACGAAACAATGTTTTCCTATATTTGCTAACTTCTGTACAGCAAAACAATTTGAGTCAGCGAAATAATTCGAATGACAATTGGTATTCTTAACGAACCGTTTTGCTATTCATATAATAACTGGCGGATTTTGTTACGACGTCATAAAATTTGCTACGCCGGCAAATTATCTTTCTCCGTGGTAGATATCTTTAGGCACATCTAAAATTTATAATTTCAGATACCTTTAGATACCTAAAATTAACAACTTTAGATATATTTAAGTGTCTAAAATTTATAACTTTACAATTTTAGATAACTTTAAATCCCGGCAACTCGGGCAGGTCTGAAGAAATACTCGATAGGTTCAAAGATTGCGACACTTTTATCTCGATGAGCTTTCAGGACGCGATAGAAAAATGTATCTTCCGAGAATTGTAGAAAGTCAAATTCCCTATTGGATGCGGGTGAAAAAAGTGCTGCAATCTTTCCGCTATTGACTGTGACATAACAAAGATCTTACGAAACAGCGTCGCATGTGGAATGCAGTGCGCGACAGATGCGACGGATCCATTTTGGACAGATGGACAAGGGTGATCGTACTCACGAGAAATCGGCGAGTTAAGAGGAATCGACGAAGGTCTCTCACGCGAAATTAATTAAGCCGGCATTATGGCTCGGCCCAATTAGCTCATTAACTCATTAACCCAATTAACTCATTAATGGCCGGTGTCTCGATTTAATATACAGCGAATTCTTTTTATAGTACGATTGGAAAGTTCACGACAAACAAAAGAACCAAGAGTAAACAATACAAGTACGTTTTTGGAGCAATCAATAGCAGACGAGACGAGAATGCATACAGATCGCCGATATTTTGCAAATTTAACGGTAGCCCTAGATATCGATCGTGTAATTTCACGTGAAAGATTTCACTTTTCACCTTCCGTTTTACCGATTCCGCGCGAATTTTTCCACTATTCGCGCGATCATGTTACGCTGAATGTGTGAAAATTAAAAATTACTAAACTATGGTTAACGTCATAATATCGGAAAAGCCCGTCGTCAGAACATCCAACCAACATCTAACATTAAAAATAACGCTATAATCTTAGAAACATTATGTCCCTTATATCCCAACGTACTAGTAACATTATTGCGTACTAGTAACATATATTGGATCGTTCATGTCACTGAAAGGTTTTCACCTCTCCGACAGCAAATTTGATTTGAACACTTTCACGTCCCCATGTTTCGCCGACGTCACGTGATCGCGATGTTCACGTGAAACTCTTCACTTTTCACGTCTCCGCCCTAGGGGAAAAGTTACGCGATCGATACTCGGAGAAAAAAATGTCTATAGTGATCCATTTTGGTCGACGGTAAATTTCTTAATGACTCGTCAAGAAGAAGTGATAAAACAAAATCATTTTAATTGACTGGAGATTCGCCACTCTCTCTCTCTCTCTCTCTCTCTCTCTCTCGCCTCCCTCAAAATCTCGCCGATTCCCCTTTCTCCTCGCTCGCGCGCACACGCACGTACGCGCGCGGCGATGTCTCGCGCGCGCGCTTGTCGCTGCGGCGCGATCGCGATCGGAGGCTGATAATGCGTGAATTGAATTACGGTATACGCATGTTGAATTATCCTCACGTAACGTAAAGCCCCATGACGTGTCGATGGTACGCCACATCCACGCCGACGCCGCACACAACTGCAACAGAAAGAGGATCAAAAGGATTGCAACATCCCCCGCGCCGCCAGTCCGGCGAATCCCATCAACTCCCCCTCCCCTTCCTCCAACTCGCTCTCTCGATATTTCGCAGGGGTGGCGGCTTCGATCGGATGAGAGGCGAAACGTATCGATTCCTCGATCGCGTTTCGCGCCTCGTGATTTCGCGCGAACGAGATTCCCCTGATTTATAAACCCCTCTCTGCCCCTCCTCCCCTACCCTCCTGCCGCCCCCGTCGTCGCCGGAACCCCGGTGCAACCCCGCAGCGCTGAAACCGCGCGTGAAATTTCCGCGAGTGCGGAACAGCACTCGCGCGATTACGCGCGCGCTAAATTAACGCGGCCGCCCGGGGTTTTCGCGGCTCTTTTCGCGGCGCGTTGTTTGAGAGAACACTTACAGCGTATAACCTCGTTAGGTTAATCTGTTTAATTTCGTCGGGCTTTCTTTTTTCATTCTTATTCGAGTCACTCGCGTTTTTACGCGCGTGTTAATTTCTGGCGGAATTCTCCCCGAGTCCCTCTCTCCCTCTCTCTCTCTGTCGGGAGATCTCTTTTTCTCTCTATTTCTCTCTCCTGGGTAACGTCCCATATATCAATCTATCTTCCGTGGAAGGTATCTGCGGGATACTTCGGAACATGAATTCCCCGCGTGCGCGTATGCATGCCGGCGCATTAATTACCGTATCTGACATTCGCCCGTGCATTCCGAGCGTGGACGCGCGTGCACTTCGGAATCTTTCGCCGTTCGATAACATCATCGCGATAACAGGGCGCAAAAAGCGGAACTGGAAAAAGTCGGCGTGACGATGCATCGCATCTTGAAAAGGGAAAAAAAGAGAAAGAAAGAGAGTGAGATATAACGGGGGCAGCCGGAAAAATTCCGGAACATCCAACGCCTGATGTACAACGTGCGATCCGTCGAGATATCTGCCTTGATAAAGAGAAAGAAGATGCCTCACGGGAATGTATCCCGAGAGTGGAAATTTTGCTTCCACGTTGATCCTGCAAAATTTCACGGGATTTTCGAAGGATCATTAACGGGTCTCGAGGAGAAACAATGGCGGGATAATACAAATGTGACGCTATAAATGGCCGCTCATTGCCACTTTCTCCGCGTCGAAACTTAAAGAAGGGCCTGTTTGAAAGTTCCGTAATATTTGATTGTTCCCAATGTTCCCACTTGCATTCGATCCTTATTTATAATTTCAACAAACAATTAATTATTTAACTTAGTTACACGACTGGCTCGTCCGGATTCTTTTTGTTCCTTAACTCTTGAAACATACCCTCAGAACAAGATTTCACGTTTTCAAGCATCGTATTATACATGTCTGTTACATAGTGATGATTTCTCGGTCTCACACACAAACATACGCACACACTGAAGATAAATGTGCGAGTCGTTCATTCACGGCTGATGATTGGTGGGGGAGAATAATTCGGCCTTTTTTTCGCCATTGTTCGAGAACTGTCGCCTGCCTTTCCATGACAGAGTCATTATGTTTCGAGCCGACTAGCACATACAAACACACGCACGCACACTGTGACGCAAAACATGTGTATCGGTACGCGCTAGTTTACAATTCCCAGCGGTTGATCACAGTATCTCGTCGATTTAAATCTAACATTGTTGAGATATACATTCGGACTCTCGTCGACATCGCGTCCGTTAACACGCGTTTTTCCCGGACGAATCGCGTCTACGCGAGTATCAGTGCTGTACTCGGAGAAAAAATTAGCCATAGGAGTTAAGATTTCACTGTGGTAGTTAAAATGTGTCTTTGAAATGGGGACAGTTAATGTCGTTGCCGTCACGAGTAAATTTATTAGCCGTTTGGGAATTTAAGTGTTACAAGGAGAAATACTTGGCACTTTTCTATTTACCTTGCTCTAAGACGTAAGTCGTAAGCAAATTGACCTTGATACTTGTACGGTCGATTATTTTTCCAATTAACGGCTGTGATCAATTGATTTGCTTACTACTTACGTCTTAAAGCAAGGTTATAGGCTAAATTTAATTCTTATGACAGTCGCATACATCTACGACTATAGCTGTACATGGAAAAAAAGAATTAGCTTTCACAGGTGAAAGCTAAATCTGGAAATTAAATTTCAATCATATTATATCGCTAATCTTTAGCTGTGGGAATTCATTCTTTGTTTCCGTGCGATGACTGGCACTGTGACACATCGTTTTGTTGCAATGAGTTACATCGAGCCGTGTATAAGAAACATAATTAATTGCATTTGAAAAATCGATTTTACATCTCGCCAGTAGCACCGGGAAAAAACAATTGCGTTAGTGTGACTGAATTTTTCCGTTGCCCGGTAAAAATAGAGGCCAGACGGGAAAGTCGGTTGTAAAGGCAGAAAGAGACTCCTGTAGGAGTTTTCTACTTCAGTCAATTGCTCTCAGTCCATTGTCTCAAACGAGTTTATAATGCAGCTAAAAATGGTTTCGCTCGTGGTAATGGAGATATCGTTATCGAATCTTCGTCTGGTCTTTATTTGGTTACACGAAATTGGCAATTCTTTCGTAAGAGAGAAACTAAGTAAAACAGAAATATACACGCGCGTCTTTAATTCTATTTATTTACTGTATCTTTGATAATTCAATTGTCAGCTTTCGACCTTTCGTAGAATCGACGGTAATCAATGCGGCAGTCAACGTGTGAACAAAGTTACTAGAAACAAGGATATAACTAAAGGATATACCCGAGTTGAGATTTAAAATCTGTCCTAAAGCCGATTATCATAATCGGTTATTTGATAGATAATCATAATTTTAAGGATTTCGCCAATTTTAAGGATTTCGCCAATTAGTCATCTCGTGAATTATTCGCCGTGCTTATTCATTATTTATTCACACGTACAGCAAGAAATATTGGCCCAAACAACAATTATAAATACGAATGTGCGATCAATTGTGCGCTCAATCAAATATCGTTAATAACTGACAATTATGAGAGATTACTGGCTCAAGTACTTATTTCTGCGTGTGTTACAGTTTCTTGTCTATTCAACCACAATTTTTTATACGATCGCCCAAATTTGCTCATGACGTATCCCAGATAGCAAAATGTATTCAATCTGATCTCATCTTGCAATCTTCACAATCTGATCGAATCTTGCAATCTTCACAATAGCTAAAACGTGAGGTCAAGATCAGATTCGTGCGCATATCCTGCTCAGATGTCATTCATGATATCCGGGAAATATCTTACTTAATAACATTAATTATAATCTCGAGTCGAGGATGTGCACACATAATTTGTATACATCTTGTGCTATCTGTATTTTTCAGAAAAGTGCAACACAACGGTTTCAGAGGCTCTCCTCAGCGGAAGCCTCTCGCTTCGAGCCTGAACGTGGGAACGAGCGATAATTAGCAACTTCGTTTGCCGCATCAAAGGTAGGACGATAACGCCCGTATAGCGTCATATCTCGAGTATCAGCACCGGCCCTTCAAGTTCGCGTGGAATTTGCGGGGTTAATGCGAAGCCGAAATTTCGACGGGGTTAACACCATTTGGCGATATCGATCAAGCGATATCGAAAGATATCGGTGTGTGCACGTAGGAAGTGGAGGTACGATCGACCACGACAAGAGCCCGTATTAATCTCTATCGATACTACACCCCCCATATACACACACACATATATACGAGGAGGGGGG